GTGCTGCAAATCACCATGAGATCAAATGTGATTTGTGCGCGCAAATCACCCGGTGCGGTCTCATCCCAGGTTGGGGAAACCTGTTTCTGAGCAGTAGTGGGAGGTGGGTGCTGATGCTCGTGGCTTGTGGTCGCGCTTGAGACCAGAAACAATTTCTTTACCCGCTGCAGAGAAGGAACTAGCTACCAGGAGAACAGGTCTGATTTCCCTGGCTCCTGCCCAGCCTTGGTCCGATTATCCATCCCTTCTTCTTCTAGTTCGTCGTCCTCAAGATGCAAGTCCCCGTCTGTCCTGGTGGCTGCTCAACTGTGGTCCTAGCCAGCGGTGTGAGTCGGAGGGGAGGTGACGAGGGTGTGCTGGGTACCACAGGGCGGGTTAAGTGACCCAGCCTGTAATTACTGCAGTTCGTAACCATGGTGAAAATAAATGAGTGTCCTCCGTGGTCAGATAATTATTGAAGGAAGAGGAGACCTCGGTTAACGTCCATGCGGCAGCGGGACGGTGATTTGTTGCTGGTGGGGTTGTAATCCTTTCTTGCCCGCTGGCATCGCGCTGCCTCCGGCCTTGCCACCCCGGCACTGGTGGGAAATCTGCCCGTTAATGAGGGAGCAGGATGGGGATGAAATCGGTCCTTGGTGCTCTCCGCAGCAGATCTATCTTCTCACCTCACTCATCGTTTCAGCTTGTTGATGCTGGGCGATGCAGCCAAGAGTTTCTTGGCGTATCTGACCTAGCAAGGCTTCCCCTCACCACCCTGCCCCGATAGTTTGTTCAGGGCATGCTCCTGTGGTTGTGGAGGGAGTTTCGGGGGTCTGGAAGGGCTCGATGAGTGGTTGAGATCCAACAACCAGTCTGGAGGGACCAGGAGGGACCCAAACTCATGCAGGTCTTCAACGGCAAGAAGCCGGCAGGAGGCTCAAGTCCTCAGGAGCTCGAAACACTGCTACGGAAAGGGAAGGAAGAAATTGTTCCCCACATCCCCTGGAGCGAGGACAAAGTCATGGGCAAGCAATGAGCAGGGTGCCGGGAGATGGTGGAGCCTCATGCAGGGAGATATTTATATATGCCTCTTTGTGGGCATTTTTCTGCAAAACTCAGTAATTGGACTCACTCTGCCTTTTTCTGAAGGACAGAAAGAACAAGTGGCTGTGAAAAAATAACTGAGAATGAGAGAGGAATGAACTGGGAGAGCAGCCCGTCCTCCCAGACGTGTCGCAGACGGTGCCTCCGGTATCTTCTGTGCCAGCGTGGGACTCGGCGAGGGAATGATAACACGATGTGCTTCCCTGTGCTTTGGAGACAGCAGCAAACTCCAGCTCAGATCCCTCCTGCGAGACGGGCGATGCTTTCGGCACCTCCATAAAAACCACCTCTGCTCTTCCTCCTGAGTGTCCCCTGCCTGGGTGGCATCTCCCAAGGACTTGAAACATGGATTGAGCAGATGAAAAACCTCTGTTAGTTGGGGTGATCCATGGGCCACCCCACTTGCGCCGGGTCGTGCAGGGGCAGAAGAGCCTCTTCTTGCAGAACCCCCCCAACCAGTGGCCATGAAATGTTTTGGACAAGGTGGAAAAGACTGGACAGAACTGGGGTAGCGAAGAGGAAAATCAAAGCGTGGTCTTAAGCAAGTGCAAGTGGTGAAGGCAGCATGAGCTGGCCGGAGCTGGTGGCTTTGCTGCTCTCTCGAAGAAACAAAGAGCCATCTTCAACCTTCAGGACACGATGCAGAAGATCTCGCTGTAGACGTGCTTCCACGAAAGCAGGGGAGAAGGTTTAATTCTTATTTAATGTGGTAACCTGGCATAAGGAGACCTGCCTCCAGCTCTCAGGATCCATGAGATCCACTGAGGGTGGTGGGTGGTGAGAAGTGTGCACTGGGCAAGACGTCAAACGGGGTGTTTTGGCACCAGAACTGGAGCCGAGGCTGGTGGGTTGTTCAGCGTGACCTCTGAGAGCTGTTCTGGTGGCGGGGCGTCTGGAGGTGGTGCGTGCTGCCAAAAAGGAGTGGGAAGGCCCTCTTCTGCTGGGCATCAACCTCCCTCATCTCTGGGATTTCATCGTGAGAAGAGGCTCCAGTGACCTGTAATCGATGAAAGCTGTGGGTCACCAGGTTCAGGAGACCCAGTATGGAGTTGGCAGTAGCTCAGAGTCTCATACTATCAATTTGCTTCATGTGGACAGGAGCAGAAGCATGAGCCAACTCTTGGGCCAACTCTTCATGGTGTAAGGTCACTGTGTCCCTCACTGGAGACGCCGCGGGTTGGGACAGCCCTGGAGAACGAACCTGAGCCGGGTGGCAAGGCTGCAGCCGGTGGTGTCTGGCTCCTGCCCTTCCCGACAGGCACATTTCCCACCAACAGGCTCCACGGAGCACAGGAGAAGGGTTGGTTCCCAAAGGTCACCCAACATTCGGGGGAGAGCAAGGTGCAAACCACATCCCTGGTGTGCCTGCAGTTTGGGGAGTGACGGGGACGGAGGCATCTCTGTCCAGCTCCAACGTCACATCCTACCGCTGGGAGATTTGTTTCCTGGCTCTTGCCCGAGTTTATGATGATGATAGGAAATTATTTTCTCCTACTCCCCATCTGACAGCAGCACGCTGGCAAGGTGGCGGGCAACGTCCCAAACGAAGTGATAGTTGCCTTTGAGGCTGGAGCCGCGTAGGCGCGTCTAAGGCTGAAGCCCAAGCTTGGCTGAAGTTTTGCTCCTCCGAGTATTTGATACTTTTATTTTGTGAGGAGGTGGTAACTTCAGGTAGTGAGTTGGGCCAAGCCTTGATGTCCACCCTCCCATAGAGGGGCAGTTTTTCCACGGTGGATGATCTGCCAGCTCGGAGCTGCCCCAGGAGAGGTGGATTCATTTGAGAAGGGTTGAGTTGCTCCCCGCCCCTGGGGCTTTCTCGCTCATCCCAGGACACTGAGCAGCCCTGAGGGGAAGGTTTGACCAGCCCAGATGGAGCCCAGCCAGCCTTGCCCAGGTTTCACAGCTCCCTGCAACCCAGTCCCAAGGAGTTAATCCTGCAGGGCCGAGATTATCCTGAGATTATAATTATTTCTGCCCGTGAATTATTAATAAAGAGGAAAAAAACCCTCTTCGATTCATTGCAAATTGCAATTAGGGTTGAAACGGAGAACCTGCAGACGTGCTGCTGGAACATCGGTGATGGGAGACCCAGCTTTGCGGGACACGTCGTCGTTCGGAGGAGATGTTACCCACCAGGACTATCAAATGCCTTAACGGGAAGATGGACTTCAGGTAGAGGTGAAGGAGGTCTCCTCCTGGCTCTGGTTGCAGGCTCCGGGGTTTTTTCACTTGTGGATGAGTTGGTCCCTGCTGAGCCCTGCTCGGGTGAGCTCCTGGCACGCTCGGCACGTTGCCCGGCTGAGCTTTCACCCCTGCTCGTGCCAGGACTGCCACAGAAGCTGCCTGTTGGGTGGCGATTTGGGGATGATTATTCACATCTCAGAATGAAGAAGGTCCCCGTTGGCGCTTGTTCGCACGTGCACGTTGTATGTACGAAAACAGGCTCCACCAGGCAGTTTCCAGCCCGATGCCACGGGGGTTTGGGGTGTGCAGGTACAGTCTCTGCGAGTCACGCAACAGCAAGATGCCGTAGGATGCTCCACGTTGAGAGACGTTCAGTGGAAGTGTGCAGGGCGTCACCGCACGGGGTGCGAAGTGGCTGAGGGATGCAGTGAGCTCGAGCATCAGGGAAGCCATGGGCATCCGCCACCACCGTTCCAGCTCCCGCTTGCCTCTCCGTGGGCATCGTGCGCATCCTCGCAGCCGTGCTGAGATGCTCGTCCCATCCGGGGCTGGCCCTAGGGCTTTTTTCGGCGATGAAGGGGACGGAGGGCAGCTGCTGCTTTCACCTCCTGCGGTGCTTGTGCTCCGTCCCTTTGGAGACCGAGGTGTCCACGCGTCATGCGGGTTTAGGCAGTTGGCTAAGCTGTCCCTCCCCTCCCTGCCCCAGCATGTCGGTGCTCCGCTTCGGTGCTGCCAGAAGTAGCTGCCCCATGGCCTCAGGGTACAAGGCAACGGGGGTTCGCATTTCGTGGGGCTGGGACATCTCTGCACGGGTCGGGGTTGTGTTTTCAAGCCCCCCCGAGCTATTTAGCGTCCCCGCAGGAGCCAAACCACGGGCAGAGGTTCAGTCCCCTGCCCTGTCCTCCCACCGTGGGCTCCCTCTGCGGCAGAGGGGGCAAAGTCTGAAGGTTTTTGCCTTCAACTTCTTTTGGAACGATGCTTGGGATTATTATTTTTTCCTGGTTTTAACGTAACTCAGCTCTAGCTGGGAACCGGAGGAGGGTTTTAATCCCGGGCAGGGGGCTGGATGGAGGGGGTGAGATGGGTTAATCCTGGGTGCTGCGAGGAATGGAAAGCAAGAAGAGGTGGGAGAGACGGGGCTGTGCGTAGGCGGCTTCTCCTTCTCGCCCTGGGATGGGAGATCCCAGCAAGGGGCTGGTCCCAGGTGGGGACCGTGGTGGGGGTCGGTCCCCGCTCCCTGCAAGGACTGCGTTCCCAAACACCCATGAAACTGTCACCCAACGTACGTCTGCCCCAAAGCTTGTCCCCAGCGGGTGGCCATGCTCGCTCCTCCATCGCTGTTCGGCTCCAAGAAGCACCAAGGCACGAGCGGGGAGGGATGATTCAGGGCTGTCTCCTAGAGATGTGCTCCAAGGGGTGTCATCGCTTCTCGGGGCTTGGCTTTCCAGCCTGCGTGTCCTTCACCATGAGGGTTGCTGAGGTCTGTGGGAGCCGGGGAGAGCTGCGGGCCGGTGCCACTGAGTTTGGGACAGTGGCAATGCACTGGTCTCTCCATCACAGACGTGCCCTTCACCTGATGGGAGAGGCTTGGGGTGCTTGGGCATGTCCATCCTTTGGGCTCTGCTGCGGCCAAGGGTCTGGGGGGTCCCGGGGCAGCGGTATGGGGGCGTCTGTCCGCCTGTGGGCATGGGGGGCTTCGCTCGCTGATGGCGGCGCTGTGTTTCTCCCCGCAGGACGTCGTCCCTGCGATGGAACGCCGGCACCAAGGAGCGGATGCTGATCAAGGTGACCGACCGTGATCCCAGCTTCCTCATGCACCAAGGCAACGGCTACGCACCCGAAAACCAACCGGGCACCCGTTCGCGGCGACCCTCAGGGGGCCAACAATCGCCCAACCTGCAAACCTTCGCCCCCGACACCGACAACTCTGTTTTCTTCCCGGAGAGGAAGCAGTCACCCTTCTTGAAGAGGGCTGAGCACGTGGGCAGCTGCTCGCCGCTGCTCGGCCGGGGGGACTCCTTCTGCTCCCCGCTCCAAGCCCAGCACCGCAAGCACTCCAGCGAGTCGCAACCCTCCTCGCCCCGCTACGCCTACGAGCCCCCCCTCTACGAGGAACCCCCCATGGAGTACCAGGCTCCCATCTATGACGAACCCCCCGTGGACATGCAGTACGAAGCCAGCGGGAGCTACAAAGCTGGCTCGCCGCAGAAATCACCCATCCGTAAACCTCACCCCTTCCTGCAATCACCCAAGCAAGGCTCCAACTCGCCCTACCAGCAGTTGGTGCTCACCAAACAGAAGTGTCCCGACCGGTTCATGAGCCTGGAGTACAGCCCTGCCGGCAAGGAGTATGTCAGGCAACTGGTCTACGTCGAGCAGTCGGGCTCCAGCCCCAAGATGAAGACGGGGTTGAGGCACAAATATTCCCCCAACCCCATCGGCGGCTCCTACTCGCTGCAGCACAGCCCCTGCCTGGTCCGGGACCAACGCTTGGAGATCAAATCGGGTGACTACAGCAGCATGGAGGGACCCGACTTCTGCCCTGGCCCAACAGGTGGCCAGGTGGCCCAGGGCGAGGACTCCATGTCGTGGTCCAGCCAACAGGACACCTTGTCCTCCACCGGCTACTCGCCCTCCACCAGAAAGAGGAAAAGCCGAAAGCCTTCCCTATCCCACGACCCCAACGCCTCCTCCACGGACGGCTCAGGGGACCGGGAGGTGTTGGGCGAGCAGATGCTGGGTGAGGAACGAGCCACCCCGGGATCCAACAGGTCACCGATGAACCGTACGGAGAGCAAGGCGGTGGAGGCGGAGGCGGCGCGGGGCTTCCCCGAGCCCTTCCTGGCACAGGCGCGCCTGGCTTGGGAAGCTCAGCAAGCCCACTACCACATGAAACAACGGAGCAGCTGGGATTCCCAAAAGGACGGTTCGGGCTACGAGAGCGACGGTGCCCTCCCTTTACCCATGCCAGGTCCGGTGGTGCGAGCCTTCAGCGAGGACGAGGCGTTGGCGCAGCAGGAGAACAAGCACTGGAAGAGGAACACCTTCGAGAAGCTGGGCTTCCCCCAGATCCTGCTGGAGAAGAGCGTCTCTGTGCAGACCAACCTGGCCTCCCCCGAGCCCTACTTGCATCCGTCTCAGGTAACGTCCTCGGGGATGTCCCCGGCATCGGGGGGCTTCGCCGCGTGCCCCGCGCCGCCAACCCTCGCCCACCGCGTGAGGGATGTCCCCGGCGTTGGGGGGCTTGGCCGCGTGCCCCGCGCCGCCAACCCTCACCCGCCGCGTGGCGCCTCCTCAGGTGCCACGCCAGGTTGGGCAGACCAAACCACGTGGCAGCGCAGCGTCCCCACCACCCTCTCCGATAAGGCTCCTTCTTCTTGTAAAGCCGGTTTAAATCCCCGCGTCCGCTGCAGATCCAGCGGGATGGTCCCCAGGTGATCCTGCACCTTCGTAGCCGCCGAGCGCCGGCATGGGCACCTCTGCACTGTGGCAGCCTCGGCCCTGTGCCGTGGCTTCAGGCGCTGCTTCTCCTCTTTCGGTCTGGCTGGCGCTCGGTGGGAGCCAGCTCCTGGACCCCAAGCACCCACCCGGCTCCCAGGGGAGCCCTGAGCGCCCATCCCCGGCTGTGCTCAGTGCTCCCGGCACATGCACGGGGCTCGTGTGCTTTGCAGTAACTCATCTCCTTGCGTTTCACGTCACGGCACCGTCGGACTGCGGCGGTGCAGATTTTCCTTATCAATCCCGTGGTGGCTCAGCCTGGGCTTCGTAGCATCCTCGCAAGAGCACTGGATTCTGGGGACACCCAAAATGCCACCTCTGGTCCCCATCCAGCTGGAGGAGACGCGTGAGCAGGGATGTCCCTTCTGCAGAGCGAGGGGAGATGGCCAGGGTGTGTAAACGGCATCGAGAAAATCGGCCCCTTTCCGCTCTCTCCACCTGCTTCCGTTCTCAAAGGCGTCCTCTGCCAGAAACGAGGGTTTGCTCACCAGATTGTTCCCAGCTGTAGCGGTTCGAGGTGCTGGAGCCGCGCCGCTGGCCCTTGGCTTTCGCGGTGAGCAGGAACAGGCAGCACCATGTTTGAGTTGGGGTCTTGACCCACCACCCCAGCTCCAGCCATCCAAGTGGTGGCTGAACCCGTCACCGGACCCACCGGTAACTCCGAGGCAATTTCCAGGAGTTTTTTTTCAGTGAGGACTGACAGTAAGTTGAGGAGCTTCGTCCCGCCAGTGCAGGCTGTCCCGTTTGATCGCAGGCAGCACCCCACACGGATCCTGCCTTGGTCTCCTCCCTGGCACGTTGGGATCAACAGCGCTGCCGACCTGGCTGCCAGATTTGCTTTCTTATAGAAGCTGGTCCTTAGCAAGCTGGTTCCTAGCAAGCTGGTCCCTCAAAGAAGTTGCTCCTTAGCAAGCTGGTCCCTCAAAGAAGCTGGTCCTTGGCAAGCTGGTCCCTCAAAGCTGGTCCTTAGTAACCTGGTCCCTCAAAGAAGTTGCTCCTTAGCAAGCTGGTTCCTCAAAACCCTGGGATGAAACAGCCACAAGCACACCAGCTTTCCAGGATCTGCTTCCCAGGGCTCTGAGCTGCCTGTACCCTCCCTGGGACTGAGCTGCCCCGGTCCTGGAGACCCCTCCTGCCCCAAACTCCCATCCCAGAGGAGCTCCTGCAGCTGCCATAGACCATTCTCGTGACGGCGTAGCCCTCCTGCTGCTGATAGCCCCCCATGGGCCGTGACCTGGACCTGCTGGAGCTGGTGCATCCCCTGTGCCCATCTTCCAACCCATCAGGTGTTTCCCATCAGCAGCTCCTGGCTTACGGCTTTCAGCTCCCATGTCCTTTCCCCTCCAGCATCCGACACCCAAAATCTGCCCCTCTGACCTGTAGTACCCCGCTCCGGGCAAGGACAGGGACACTGCCTGCGTCCCCGTGGCCAGAGGAGCCCAGAGATGGTCTGCGGAGGTGGGGAGGTGAAGACAAGGGTTTCCGGAATAAGACGGCTTGATTTGCTTTTGGATGCATCGAGTGCTGATGTAAGGACGGGAGGAAAGGCTATAACGGCTTTTTAAAACTGGATGATGACGCCATGTGCAGGGATAGTTACCCTGGTGAGAACAATCCGACCTGGAAAACTGCCTGGAAGATGGAGCTTGGTATCAGCAAGGAGGAGGGAGACCCTGGACGTGGAAAAACCTGGGAAACAGCAAATAATTTGGAAAATGCTTTTTTGCCCATGGGAATGTGTAAGGAAGTCGGTGGGGCGTCGCATCCAAAGGCAGCAGAAGAAAATTCCCCATGCGCAAGTGTCCCCAGGCACCCGGTGCTGCACGAGGAGGTTCAAACCCAAAACTGGAGAGCTCCAAATCCGCTTTGGATGCTCACGTTGGCCAGGAAGAATAGCTGCCACCATTAGTGATCCCGTGCCTTCTGCGTGGAGCTCAGGATGTGGTGGGACTCTTCTCCGCTGCCCGGGCGTTTCTGTCTGGTTGACCCTGTCTGATGTTGTCCGCAAGCTCAGGGACACCCGTTTCAGGAAGAGCAGATTTCCAGCCAAGGTGGTGGGACGCTGGACCAGGTTGCCCAGAGAAGTTGTGGATGCCCCATCATTGGAAGTGTTCAAGGTCAGGTCGGACGGGGCTCTGAGCAACCTGATCTAGTGGGAGATGTCCCTGCTCATTGCAGGGGGGTTGGACTGGATGATCTTTAAATGTCCCTTCCAACCCAAACCATTTATGGTTCGATGATTATCAAAAGCTCACCAAGCCAAAGTTCATTAGCACCTGAGAAGTCTAGAGCGCGCCTCAGGGAAACTTGTTTCCAGAAAAGAAACATTTCAACATGGAAATACCACTGGATATGGTATTAAGGAGAACTTATTAAAACCCCCAACCCAGACCATTCGATGATCATGTCTAAGATTGTCACGTGGTTTTAATTTGGTTTCCTATGCTCCCATCAACTGGGCAACCTTCAACATTGGTCAAAGCGGAAGCCTCTTGCGGTGGGCGCAGACCTGCAGCCGGCCCTGGCGGTGAGCTTTGTGCGGAGGGTTGTCACGCTGTCCATGATGGCAAGATGTGGCAGAAACGGAGAAGAAAACCAGAGCAAAATGACGCTGGAGATGACACGCGGGGAGATGCAGAGACCTGGCAGAGGAGGGAAGCGCACAGGAGATGTGACGGGGTGGCACAAGCGATGGGGACATGCCCAGTGTCACCGACGGTGCGTCCCCACGTCAGCCCTGCACTGGGATGCGTCCGAGCCCCATCCACGTGGCACCACGACTTCCTTCCCCCACAGCACGCTTGAGTTTGCTTCTGGGTTTCAGCGTTCCCCTAATCCCCGAGCCAAAAGGAGGGTCACCCCTTGCCAGGAGGTGACGGCCAGCAGCCATTGACGCCCGATTGCTTATCCCCTTGTTGTAGCCCTAGGCTTCCCCCAAGTTCATTTAGGACTGTGCTAATTAGGGCTGAAGCTAATTTTATATTGGCCCTAGCAGCAGAGGACCCATCACGTTCTGCCGCCTGTGTCACTCCCCAGCTCGACCGCGCTGTCCGCTGGGGTGGACTTGGCTGGAGAAGGCTGATGTCCCCAGCAGACGTGGTTCTTTGCTTCTCCTTGGGTGCCCTGGACGAACAGCGTGGCGGTGGCCCAGCTCGTGGACCGGCTTTTGGAAGAGCCACGGCAGCGATGGCTGCAGGGCGAGAAGGCTTAGAGCTGCATCTCCTTCCACCCAGAAAGCCCCACGTGCCTTCAGCTGACCAGCAGGTTGGAGGACACAGAAGGACCTTTTGGGTGATGTGGCCTCCGTAGGAACGGCAGGGCTGGGTCCCTCAGTGGGGGAAGCTCACGTGTCCCCACGGCCAGGTCCCTGCTGTTGTCACCGACGATGGGAGCTCAGCGACGTCATTGGGAAGACGAGACCTCAACACTGGGAAGGGACGAGCTGTTGAATGAGGAGACAAGAAACTTGAAATGTTTGAAGAAGCAGAGGCTCAGTTGTCTACCAGCAGCTCTGGTGGCTCTTTGGGTGGCTTCCTTGTCCCCTCCTGGACTTGCCGCCTCCACGTGGCCCTGGCTCTTTCTACCTTGGTTCCGCCTCCTGCTTTTCTTCTTCTGTTCCTCGTCTAAAGCCCAGCCCCAAGGCCGTGGCACCGCTGTGGTCACCTTGCACGCAGTCCCTGCTTGGGGCCACCAACACGGTCCCCCTGCGCATGGTGGGGAGGGCAACGTCACCTCTGGATGGTGTGGCATGTTCTTCCCTGCTAAGGGAAGGGCTCGCCTCCTGCCTGCCCACGAGTCACGTCCCCAGGGCCACCGAGCCCAGGTAACGCTGGCCCGGCCGTTGCACTTGCAGAAGAGCGAGCTGACGGACGATGAAGCCACGTTGGCTGGCTGCAGGACCAGGGAGCAGTCCATCCCAAGTGCCCTTGTTTGCCTTCCTCCATGCTGGTCATCAGCTGTTTGGGTGTCCCTCCACCTCCTGGGGTGATACCCATAAGCTGTGCTGGTTCCAGCAGTAGAAGGATACTGGTCTGCAGGGGTGCCCTTCTCTCTGCAGAGGTCCTTCCCGGCTGGGTGCTCTGCAGGTGAGGTTAGATCCAGGGCAGCTTGTGTCCCTCTGCACGTGGGATGTAAAGAAACAACATCCGTGTCGCTCATGGCTTGGAGGAGCCACCGGCCTCCTCCTGGGTATGTGGCCACTGGAGAACCATGCTTGAACGTGACTTTGGGGAGAGGGGATTATTTGGGGGGCTGGTTACAGGTGAGTGCGTCCCCTCCCCGGTGTGCCCGAAGGACTGGTGGAGCCCGAAGCCAGTTGCCCTTTGCTCCCCTCACGTTACTAATAGCCACCACCTCCTTCTGTCCATGACTGCAAAGCCTGAGTGACCAGGGTGCCGGGCGCGAAGGGAGTCCAGCACGTTGGCTTTCAGGTGGCTTCGCTTATCCCCACTGGTCCCCTCCCTCCTGATGCCGATCGGTGCCTCGAGCAGCCTTGGCCACTGGCACCAGACCGGCTCCACTTGCCCATGATGGGATTGAGGAGCAGCTCCTTGGAGAGGACATAGCTTTCGGCGCGAGTGTGGGGTGACCTCTTGATGCTGCGATGGTTTGTTGGTTGGTTGGTTGATTGGTTGGTTGGTTGATTCGTTGGTTGGTTGGTTGGTTGGTTCGTTGATTCGTTGGTTGGTTGGTTGGTTGGTTGGTTGATTCGTTGGTTGGTTGGTTGGTTGGTTGGTTGATTCGTTGGTTGGTTGGTTGGTTGGTTGGTTGATTCGTTGGTTGGTTGGTTTGATGGTTGGTTGGTTCGTTGGTTGGTTCGTTGGTTGGTTGGTTGGTTTGATGGTTGGTTGGTTCGTTGGTTGGTTCGTTGGTTGGTTGGTTGGTTTGATGGTTGGTTGGTTTGTTGGTTCGTTGGTTGGTTGGTTGGTTGGTTGGTTGGTTGGTTGGTTGGTTGGTTGGTTGGTTGGTTGATTCGTTGGTTGGTTGGTTTGATGGTTGGTTGGTTCGTTGGTTGGTTCGTTGGTTGGTTGGTTGGTTTGATGGTTGGTTGGTTTGTTGGTTCGTTGGTTGGTTGGTTGGTTGGTTGGTTGGTTCGTTGGTTCGTTGGTTGGTTTGTTGGTTGGTTGGTTGGTTGGTTTGGTGGTGTGGCCATGCTGTTAGTAACATGGACTTGTCTGGCTGTTGTCTCCTAGTCGGAGGATCTCGGTGCCTGCGCCCAGTTTGAAAGCAGCAGACAGACCAGGAACATGATGCCTAGCGCCAGCTGTGTCTTCCCCACCTTCAACCTGCGGAAGCCCTCCTCGGAGACGGACATTGAGAACTGGGCCTCCAAGCACTTCAACAAGCACACCCAAGGGCTCTTCCGCAGGAAGGTGTCCATCGCCAACATGCTGGCCTGGAGCAGCGAGTCCATCAAGAAACCCATGATCATGACCAACGACCGCAACGTCAAGAAGGAGGCGTGCGAAATATTTAAACTGATTCAGATGTACATGGGGGACCGGCGGGCCAAGACGGACCAACTCAACGTGGCCTTGGAGATCGCCACCAAAGGCTGGAGCATGCAGGGTCTGAGAGACGAGCTCTACATCCAGCTGTGCCGGCAGACCACCGAGAACTTCCGTTACGAGAGCCTGGCCCGGGGCTGGGAGCTCATGGCCATTTGTTTGGCCTTTTTCCCACCCACACCCAAATTCCATTCCTACCTAGAAGGATATATTTACAGGCACATGGATCCGGTGAATGACACTAAAGGTAAGAGAGAAACCGCTGCCCGGTGGCTTTTGCCCCTGCTGACGTTGCAACCCATTTATTTGTTATTTTGTTCCTTTCCCCTTCGCATTCATGAGTCTCCTTGTTGAAAGGTGGGCGAGGAACTCATCCAACAGCCCTCCCGGAGGTGCAGCGAGCGCGGTGGTGCCTTTACTGCCGGCCTTTCCTCCCCGGCGCACGGAAATCCAGCATGAGACCCAACACGAAATGAGCTTTGATACCTTTGCTGCAGGCCCAGCGTCACCTCCACCGGGGGTGGCCGTAAGCGAGAGTTCCCGGGACTTCTTCTGGCCGGTGAGGGCACCGTTAGAGGTCCCTTCCAACCCAAACCATTCTATGATTCTGTGATTTCACCATCACCATCTCCAGATGCTTCTGGCTTCTCGAGTAGCTTCAGATCAAAAAAAAAAACATGCTGGAAGGGGAGCCAGCTTGATTCCCAGCTCCCGAGGTGGTTTTTGGTCATGGCAGATAGAAGAGACCTAAGTTTTGGCTATTTGACCCCAAACGGGTGGGGATTGTAGGAGGCCCTCTCCAGTCCTGGGCTCGGCCGTCCCCGCTCCTTCACCGCTGGCGCTTGTCTCGCAGGTGATGGGATCCGGTCTGGCAGGGGCGCGGGGATGGTCGGTGCCTGCCCTGAGGCTGGCGGGAGGGGATGCCGCCTGCTGGCCACCCGCGGCGCGGCTGGAGGGTTGGGTATCCCCGCACCCCATGGGTTGGTGCCATCTTGCAGTGGGGTGGTGGATGAGGCAGAGGTGCGCTCCTTCACCGCTGGCGCTTGTCTCGCAGGTGATGGGATCCGGTCTGGCAGGGGCGCGGGGATGGTCGGTGCCTGCCCTGAGGCTGGCGGGAGGGGATGCCGCCTGCTGGCCACCCGCGGCGCGGCTGGAGGGTTGGGTATCCCCGCACCCCATGGGTTGGTGCCATCTTGCAGTGGGGTGGTGGATGAGGCAGAGGTGGGGGTCCCGGGGAGGTCCCGGGTTTCCGCA